AATCCATCCCCCAGAAAGACCCTTTTTCTGGTGGGGAAAGTGGACCTTGGCACGGGGCAGGTGAGGGAATAGGCTTGTATTACATGCACAGCACAGAACACAGGAAGACTAGGAAGTGCAAGGACAGTGGTCTGAGGACAGCCAAAAGGAGGAAGCATGTTCCCATGGGAAAGCAGTGCACTTCTCTGGATGCGGATGTCCTGGTACAAGACTCCAACAGCTATATCCTAGTTACAGCTCTGCTCAGGAGGCACAGTGGTCCAGCAGCTGAGCAGACAGGAAGTACTCTAATACTCTATTGAGCCCCAAAACCCAAGTTTCCTCTTGGGTAAAATGGCAATAATACTTGTACTACTTACCTCAAAGAATTTTCTTTTTAATTTTTAGGAAAATGTTTCATAAATCATATATTTCTACAGACATAGCAAGTATGATTTCAAGGAATTTTTTTTCAGTTTTTTCCCAGGAACTTATAAATCAGGATACTATTCAGATCCTAAAAGATTTGCCTCTTTACGAAGCCATGAGGAAGAATCAGGTCAGCAGCATCCCCTTGGTTGGAGGCCTTGTCAGTGGTTTTCTGAAGCAGGTTTTACGGTGAGCAGTTGGGTGACACCAAGCACATCCTGATATGACTCAGTCTCTGGAGGGAAAGATTTCAATGTCACTTATTTACAATAATAATTAGTTGATTCAATTCAATAATATTTATTAAGTACTATATACTATATATTGTGCTAAGCAGGGAGATACCTTGCTCTTAAGGAGCTTAGAGTCTAACTGACCCAGGAACAAAGAGAAAGCAGTACAAACAGCCCTGGATTCAGCCCTGGGACTTGGGTTCAAGCCTCTTAAACATTCTGGACCTCAGTTTCCCAATCTGTAAAATAGAGTGGAACTAGATAATCCAGGAGGTCTAAATGTACATCTTCATGTATAATCCCATGTGTGTGATAGAAAGTGTGTGAGAGTATGTCAGAGAGATAAAGTGCATGTATGAAGCGAGGAGGGAAAAGTTGGGAATGAGGGGTTTATGTAGCATCAACAGGGCAAGACCCATATCAAAGTCTGACATTTGTACTTGAGCACATATTTATGTGCTCTTTCTGTCTCTCTGTCTCTGTTTCTCTCTGTCTCTCTTACTCTTTCTGTCTCTCTCTCTCTTTCTGTTTCTCTCTCTTCTCTCTCTATTTCTCTCTGTCTCTCTCACATATAAACACATGTACACTCACACACAACCCCCTATGTGGTACCTTGAATGCGTGACTATCTCCTCCAGAACCAGACCCTCAGTTTAACGGACAATTCAGCACAAAATCAGTCCCTATACTCCCTCAAGATCAAGACTGGTATGTATGTGTGTATGTGTGTGTGTGTATGTGTATGTTAATGTATATTTATAAAAAAATTTAATTAAAAAGTATTCTTCAAAGAACTCTTCTGCATGTCAGGCCTTAGGCAGTTCCTGCCCTTGTACACCTTAGCTCTTATTCTGTACATGTATGTGAAAGAAATGGGGTGAGTGTGTTTATATGTATATGTATACATGTGTGTTTGTGTGTACATGTGTGCATGTGTGCATGTGTGTTTGATGAAATTTTGCTCTAGAATCAATGACCTTTAAGGTCTCAGAGATTCCAGGATTCTGGGATTCTATACAGTTCTAACAAGAGGGCTAATTCAGTTAATTCAGTAAAAAAAAAATCAAACAAAGTAGTCATTTGGCATTCCGTGACATTCTCTTTCACTAAGGTGTGAAATAAGGCCATTTAAAAATCACTACCACAAGAAAGCATGCTTGGGGCCTATGGTTTATATTTGCTCCCTATGATTTGCTTTTTGTACATGAATGAGTTATATGCAAACTCCCTCTCTCCCATTAAGAAGGAAGACACCTTGGTCCCAAGACAACATTGTGGCTCTAAGAGTAAGGAGCCTGGGCCTCATCCTTGCTTGACTGTCATTCTCCTCTTGCAGGCTGAAAGTCACTGAGGCTACCATTCCCCAACTGGCATTTCAACTTTCTGAGGAGGGTCATCTCTAGATTAGGATCCGCCTGGATATGGTGGCTGGCCTTAATACGTGAGTAATCCCACCAAGGGTTTGGGCCACCTCCTTCATTAAAGTGGGGGCCAAATGGAGTAGCACTTGTCCAAAGTAGGGCTGTACTCCCCATTCCTTTTCCCTGGGGTCCCTTGGCTTTCTACCCCTGTTATTGAGCCCAGGCTAAATCCAATCTCACCTAAGTCCTTGAGGATATGGCATATCTGGTAGCCATAGATATGACGAGGGGTCTGGGCATGAAACCTAGCTAGTCTACATGGGAGAGAAAGTCAGGAAAATAAACTCGAGAGAATAGTTTCACAGCTTCTGGCACAAACCTGGCATTTTTACAACTCCCTGCCCTGGGCAGACACTCAGCGCTCCCTATTTCCTCCTGCCATCTCTTTAGCTAAGTTCCACCTGCTGAGTTCTATTGGGAGACTGGGTGAGGCTCAGGGTAATTTCTTGGAGTTTCTCTATTCCTTTTTAGCATAATTACCAAAAAACTCATTGAGCTGCACATGGAAATCGATGTCATAGCTGAAGTCCGTTCGAAAACTGACTATCAAGGGAACTCTCATTTAGTCCTTGGACAGTGTACCAACAGCCCCATTAACTTACATATCACTCTTCTACGAAAGTGAGTATTTGTCATTTAATAACTAAGAACTTTTTTTCTTATATGAAGCAATTGGGGTTAAGTGACTTGGCCAGAGTCACACAGCGAGTGAGTGTTATGTGTCTGAGACTGGATTTGGACTCAGATCCTCCTGACTCCAGGGCCAGTGCTCTATCCACTGTGCTACCTAGCTGCCCCCAGTAACTAATAACTTTTTACATGTAGACAGCACTTGATAATTCTTCAAAGTACCTTCTTATCCATCTGATTTGATTCCATACTTTATCGAAGGAGTCACCTTTATTTTTTCCAAATTACATAAGATGAAATTGAATAGAGATAAATGTGCATTCTTACACTTTGGTTAAAAATGTACCAACTTTGTAAGTACGAGATGAGATAGGCATGGTTGTATGGCACTTTGTCCAAAAAAAAAAAAGATTTAAAGAGATGTTCAGTGGACTAGTCCTAAGTTTGATATGCACCAATATTGTGATATGGCAGCCAAGAAGGTTATTTCATCTTAGACTTCATTTGCAGAGGCATAATATTCAGGACTTGGGAGGAAAGAGTCATATTGTATCCTGCCCTGGTCAAACCAAATATGGAATACTGTGTTGATTCATGGGTAGCCAACTTTAGGAAAGACAGCTATTTCTGTCAGGGACAGAATTGTTGTTATACCCCAAAACAATCAAGAGAATGTCAACAATGATTGGTCTATATCTCCTTCCAATCTCTACAAAATTGTATAAGGGTATATTCCACATGTATATTGAGGATATTGAAGTCAAGAAAAGGAAACAGGTAGTCTTTCATAAACAATGTTAAACAGCAGAGCACATGTTTGTAGCCCCCCAAAATGAGTGAAAGCAGCAAATAATATAGGATCTCATTGTTCTTTTTGTTTGTTAACTATTTTAAAAAAGCATTTCATTTGGTAGAGTAAAATGTGCCCTGTAAAATCTTTTCTCTAATAGAGTGTATCTTATGCATGTGTTAAAATCATATGATTGATTGAAAATGCAGCAGTAAATAAAAAACTCATGCCAAATGAGTTATAAAACACAGAGATGAATCTCACCAAAGAAGTTTTCTGTCATATAGGATGTCAGTTGCAGGATCCAAACTCAACAGAGATTTTTTTTGAGGTGCTCCAGATGTTCCTCTTTGCAAATAATATTGTTCTGATTACATTAAATCTGATAACACTCCTGAGCCTTTTAAGTGAGACCCACATTAGCTAAACACAAACAAACAAAAANTTTTTTGAGGTGCTCCAGATGTTCCTCTTTGCAAATAATATTGTTCTGATTACATTAAATCCGATAACACTCCTGAGCCTTTTAAGTGAGACCCACATTAGCTAAAAACAAACAAACAAACAAAAACCCCAACAACTCTTCACATGGGAAAAAAATGGATGATGAATGCATATGTAATTGTATAGAAAATCCATAGAGCTTGTCTATCATAAATATAACTTAGACAGTGAAGAGAAAGTGAAGTTGGCCAAGAAATGAACTGAAGGAAGCAAGAGGACTGGGCTGAACGGCACAGTGCTTTTAGTGATGCCAAGTATCTTGCTCACACAAAAGTCGATCCTTTCACCATAAATACATCTCCAGTGATGTTGTATGGCTCTGACTAATGTAGTAACATATTCTTCAAAGAATTAAAGTTTTAGGTCACCCAAGAGGCCATGGAGAAGCACATTGTGGATGTGAATGTGATGAATTATATTATTAGAGTTTCAGCTGTTTATAGGAGGCACTAACTTCACTTATAAGTTCTCAAGCTACTTGCCTAATTACCATAATAAATCTAATCAGCACAAGTGCTAGAGTAGTCCAGGTGTATGTTTGAATATTTTCTTATAAATAATAAAATTTCAACGTCTCTTAATCAGTTAAGCTCAGAGCTCCTACTCGAGTGTATCAAATATGTTTAATTAAGCTCGGGTTTGCAAGGTATTTCATTTTGGGTTACATCTTTAGGGCCTTGGCTTTTTGGAATGTGGTATTCCATTCTTGTTTGTAGTCTCTGGTGGCTGAATAGTTCTGGGTTATTGAATTTCTATACTCAGAAGTTCTGGGAACATTTCTTGTGTTATTTCTTATATTATCATATTCAGGCATTTTTGCTTCTCATGTTTTTTCTGGGAAGCAAATGATTCCTAAGTGGTTTCTACATATCCTGACTTTGAGATCAGTTTGTTTTGCTTATGTGCAGATTGTTCTTTCATTGTTACTGCTTTTTTGTTTTCCTTCCAGATTCCTTTACTTCAGAGTATTGGTATTGCCCAATAAGTTTTTCTTTGCTTCTTTAAAGAGACTTGACACTCTAGATTCAAGTTTTTCTCCTCTGTTAATTATTTCTCCTGTGCAGGCCACAAATTCTGCCCTTTGTTACTTTCTTGCTTCTTTCAAGATTCTGATTTCTTTCTTGAACCATTCAGAAACATTGTCTTTCTGACTTCTCCTTTTGTGGGAGTCCCCTAAGGGTTGGAGCCCAAAGGTCTCTCATTCTTCTCCCACACTGGGGAATTCACTTTTCATTGGCCTGGGGAGGTGGGAGAGGGTGAAGGAAACATGTTCATTTCTGCAGTAGCTTAAAGAGCATTGGACTACAAATCAAAAAACACTCTCTAGTTATACAACTGTGGACAGGTTACTTAACTCCTCATTTTCCCATTTCCTTATCTGTATAATAATAACAATTACACTACCTATTTTTCATTATGAGGAAAGAGTTTTCAAAAATTCAAAGGCTTATATAAGTGTGATGTGTCACTAAGTCATCATTGGGGCCGTGTCAAAGTCTTTTGCAATATGATATTCAGTTTGTTTTCTTATAATCAATGAATTCTTGTTTTTTGGGGGGGGGAACAAAACCCCCCAAACTTCTCAAGGTATTAATAACATCAAATAGCCATTAGGAACAATTTTGATAAGTTAAATTAGACAAGTATGTATTTCAATTATCTAGAAATACACAGCTTTGTAATAAACAGAGAAAGTTCTGGGGCAAAATGTGCTTTACATTTTACCAAATCTTCAGTGTTCACAAAATTGTTTGAAGCATCAAATGACCTAAAACACAGCTTCATCTATTCCCAACAACTGGCCTTAGTAGCAATGAAACAGAGCAACAGTAATCTATTGAAAATAATAACAACAATAACAATAGCAGCAATAGGGCAGCCAGGTGGCACAGTGGATAGTGCACCAGCCCTGAAGTCAGGAGGACCTGGGTTCAAATCCGGCCTCAGACCAAACACTTGACACATACTAGCTATGTGACCTTGGGCAAGTCACTTAACCCCGATTGCCTCACTAAAAAAAAAAAAAAAACAAAAACAGTAGCAGCAATAATGTAGCATTAAGGTTTACAAAGTGCTTGACATATATAATCTCATTTAATTCTCATTCCTTTATTTTTTACTAATCTTTGAATAAATTAATTAATGAACCATTATTTATTAAGCTCTTGATATATGTCAAGCACTGTGCTAAGTACTAAGGCTACAAATACAAAAGCAACAAAATTTGCCTGCCCTCAAAGTACTTACATTCTAGTCAGGGAAATCATACTCATAGAGGAATTGTGGAGAGGAATGATGAATAAAGTCACAAGGGAGTATGACACACTCCATTCAGAAGCAATGGCCAAGTTAATTTGATCATGACTCATGGTTCCAAAAAGGGAAAGGACATTTTGAAGGAGGAGGCAGAAGAGGTTGGAAGAAAGTAAAGCATGGCTGAGACTTTCCAGAAATAGTGCCTAGAAGAGGTATCCACTAATTAGGAAAGGGGATGCCTCAAAGCTAAAGTTCATCCTGGCCGTATTCTCTGGTAAGGGCATTCTGCTCTTTGGCAAGGAGATTGCAGTATGGACAGAGAGGAGGGAGTCCTTTAATATGACAGTAGAAACGGCTTTCTATTTTTGATAAACTCTGACAAACTTCTGGGGATTGTGATCATCTTTGGCTCCTTAGATGATAAATATAGGGACAGAGAAACATAATTTATGTCTAGGAAATAAAACAACAACAACTTAACTGTTTTTTGAACTAGCTCACTAAACCACAAGAAAATGCGATTATCTGTTTTCTGTAGTAGCAGAAAGTTCATTTTCCTGTGACTTCTGCAGATGTTGTTGCTCAGTGGAGTCCTTTTCTTTGCGACCCCATGGACTAGTCTGTGCGGTTTTCTTGGCAAAGATGCTGGAATGATTTGTCATTTCCTTCTCCAGTATGTCTTTATTTTACAGATGAGAAACCGAGGCAAATAAGGATTAAGTGACTTGCCCAGGGTGTGTCTGAGGTCAGATTTAAATTCAAATCTTCCTGACTCTAGATCCAATGATCTATCTACTGTACCATCTAGCTGCCCCACTGAAGATGTTGGCAGTGGTCAAAAAGGGATAAAATATTCAGGTCTCCTTATGTTCAGTGGTCTTTTAAAAATGTTTTATTGATACTCCTTTGTTTATATTGCTTTCAGTTCCCAATGACTACCCCATTTCCCAACACCACCCTCACTCCCCCCCCCCCCCAGAAAGAACCTTCCTTTATATAGCAAATAAGGAAATTGACATTTTGGCCATTTTTTAAATGCATGCCTCATTCCACATCTAAAATCTATCACTTCTTTGCCAGTAGGTGAGAAGCACGCTTCATGACCCATTAGTCTTTTGAAATCACAACTAAACCCTATGCTCATCAAAATTTTGAAGTCTTTTAATGTTTTTTTTTACATTTTCAATGACTCCTTTATTCAATCCTTATGCTATTTTACCCTTCTATAGCTTTTCTGACCCATGTAACCATTTCACCTTACTAGAACAGAGATGACAAACTTGCCTGAATGGATATACTTCCTGAATAGGACCCAACCAGATTAAAATAAAGTGTGCAAATATTTAACAAAATAAAAAAAGATGCAATAGAATATAGATAATGTTAATGTGTGGTTTTCTAAGTCAGTATGCAGGGACCCTTACGTAAGGTTTAGTGGCCCCATTTCTATTGGAATTTGACAATACTGTACAAACTACTCTTGGCCTTTAAAGACAGCACGATGTGGTTGATTCTCCTCCTTCTCCTCTAGTTGCCCCTTCTCTACTTTCTTTACTGGCTTTTGTTGTTGTGGTGGTGGTGGTTATTTAGAACTGTCTGACTCTTTGTGACCCCATTTGGAGTTTTCTTGGTAAAGATGCTGTTTTGCCATTTCCTTCTCTAGCTCATTTTACAGATGAGGAAACTGAGGCAAACAAGGTTAAATGACTTGCTCAGGGTCACACAGCTAGTGTCTGAGGCCAGGTTAGAACTCAGGAAGATGAGTCTTCCTGACTCCAGGAGAGAATTTGGAACAAAGGTCAGCTCTCTATCCAACATAACATGCTGTTTCTTTTCATATTAATATACATAAGTAAATAGGTGTGTGTGTTTATATCCATGTATATATATTCATATTGTATAATACATAATATTTGTACATATATTATATATCAAGTAATATTGTATGTAAACACTCCACTAAAATCTATTCCTATGTTTTATCATAACCTGGCAGCAACCCTAAGTTCTTAAAGACTGTTTAAGAAAAACACAGGTTCTTACAGATCCTACCAATCTGGAAATGTTTCTGTAATGGCCAGGTAATGGATTGTACATCTCCTGTCCAAGGACCAGCTTAGTAAAGTTTAAAGAAATTCATCACCCAGTGAGTCTTGGGTTGAAGGGGTTTTTCTGGCCACAGCAACCCTCAAAGGCCTTTTATTAAGTTATAGATGTGGCAATGTGGAGTAGTGGAGAGAGCTCTGGACATGGATTCAGGAAAAGCTGGGTTCAAATTCTACCTCAAACATTTAATAGTTGTATAAGTCTAAGCAAGGTTCAACTTCTGCTGCCCAATCATCTTCATCTATAAAATAAAGATAACAATTGCATCAATCTCAAGGGGGTATTGGGAAGATAAAGTGAGATTATGTATATGAACTTTAAAGTTCTAGATGAATGTGAACTCTTCCTAATTGATCTATATCAGTGGACAGAGTCTCCACACCAACACCATTACAGAGTCTCAAAATATTTATGTAGAAGCATCATTTGGTACTGTTATAGTTATGATATCTATTATATATATATATATATGTATATATTACTGTTGGTTTTCATATTTCTCTGTTTTATTTTGGACAGGTTCTCCTTTGCAATCAACTTCTTGGCTAACAAAGTCATTAGTGCCTTGATCCCAGCACTGCCTACTTTAGTGAAAAAGGACGTGAGTGTGATGCCTTTTCCTTATGGGTGGGAGAGCATAGCATTGTGGGAATCCATTCACGCCAGTAACTGACCTGGTGACCTCTGCTCTACAAGGGCAATGACTGGGCCATTCTCAGGAAGAAGCAGTCATTTCAGTTGTGAGAACTGAACCTTGGGTAATGAATTAGTGAATACAATTTGACCATGTTTGTTTCAACTGGGGGGGAAAAAAGGAAGACTTAGGGATTGGTACGAGCACTGTCTTCAAACATCTGGAAGGCTATTGTGATAAATAGGGATTCTTAACCTTTTTGTGTCATGGACCTCTTTGCCAGTCCAGTGAGTGCTATGGACTCCTTCTCTGAATGTTTTTAAATGCATAAAATAAAATATGCAAGATTACAAAGGAAATTGTTTATATTGAGATATAATAATTAAAATATAAAATTAAACAAAAACCACCAAGTCTGTGAACCCTATATTAAGAACTCTTTGAATTATTCTTAAGGCCAGGGACTCTCTTGATTTTTATTGGTATTCCCAGCACTTGGCACAGAGTTTGGCATATAATATTGTGATAAGTGTTTGTTCCTTCATTCATTGCTACTTGGCTCTAGGAGGTAGAAGTAGGAGCAATGGATGGAAGCCCCAGGGGAATCAGATTTCAGCTCATTGTAAAAATTTCCTAACAATCAACACTATCCCAAAGAGGAGCTGATTGCCTCAGGAGGTATTGGTCTCCTCTTTGCTGGAGGTCTTCAGATAGAGGTTGGTTAATTGCTTGTGAGGGATATTTGAGACAGGATTCCTGCTTCCCACGGGGGTTGCACTAGATGCCCTCTGAGTTCCCACCCAACTCTGATGTTTTACCAAATTCTACAGCTGACTAGACTAAATATTTGGACTGCCAATAATCATATGGGTCAGACAGCAACCTAAAGTCTTGTTCAAGAAGAGAGTTACAACCTGACCTTTGCCTCCTTTGTGGCCATATTGTGCTTTACTACAAAACAACTCCCATCTTACAACTCCTTTGTTGGGCCGTCTTATGTGAAGCAATGTTATGTTGTGATAGACCCTCCGTTAGGGACCCAGGGGCACCACGCCCCGGGGCCTCTGGCTCAGCTTCCCCTAACGGTTGTTACAACACCCTGGGTGAAATCCTCAAGGGGGGGGGGTGCAACATCCTGTTCTGTAAATAACCTGCTCCCTTCCCGGCACCCCACCGGACCCTGTTCCCTTCCCGGCACCCCACCGGACCCTGTTTTGTAACCGGACAGTATAAATATCTCAGATGAAACCCTCGGTGGGACGGCCCCTGGGATGCACGCCTGGGGTCCGTCGCCGGCCGGCTCAAATAAACGCGCTCTCAATTAAAGTCAATTGGGTGTGATGCTCTGATTTCTCTCGGGCGTCCAGTTCATTTGGAGGTTCCACCGAGATCGCCCTTTGGGCCAGCTGCTTCGGCGTTGCTGGAAGGCCGGGGTGGGACGTGTTCAGGGGATGGCCACCAGGAAGATGTGCCCCGGCCCCGAACACTGACTTATCCCGTGCGAACCAGCCCGCCCCGTATTCTTCCTCTAAATTTCTTAATTGGGCACCGAGCGCTCTGGTCTCAGTCTGATCGGTGAGTACTCAACGGAAGTAAGTGGCCTGGCTGGACTCAGCTGTAACGCCCTTACTGACCTCCACGGGACGCCGTGTGAGAGTCCTGATTATCTGTAGTCTGGCGCCGCATGTTAATGTCTGGAGTGTTGTCTTAACTGTTTATGTCTGTCTTATATGTTTTATCCGTCTGTGATTGTCCTAATTGTTCGCCTCTTTCCGTTCGTGATGGGTCAGGGGCCGTCAAGCCCCACACCGGGGACCCCTCTCTCAATCGTCCTACAGAATTTCAAACAGTTTTGGCGTATTGCTGAGGGATATGGGTTTCAGGTTACCAAAGAAAAAAAATTGTCCACTTTTTGTCAACAAGAATGGCCTACATTTGGGGTTGGGTGGCCCCCGGAAGGGACGTTTGACGTGACCATTACTGGGAGGGTCAGGAAGATTGTTTATGGGACCCCTGGCCATCCCGATCAGATCCCATATATAACTGCATGGTTAGATTTTAAACCCCCATCAAAGCCACTCCGGGTTCAAGCTTTGTCCAAAGTCCTCTCCTCTCTTCTCCTTTTTGAAAACCTGGACAACATTGGCCATTCTCTTATTCCGGAGTCTATTTTTTCTCCCCTTCATTCCATCCTTCTTATGCTACCCAACTAATTTTATGTATAGCAGCGATAATGTTATTCGTGTGCTCAAAACCCTTCCCTGACTCCTCGTTTTCTACCAGGTAACATTCATACTCTTTTGACCCACACTTTAGGCCTTCTCCGATGTTACACAACCCTACCAATACTCCAGGCAGAAGGAACTAGTCTTTCTTACCTGAATATACACTGCAGTTCTCCCTTAGGAGCTTTTCTTTACACTGTTCCTTCTGCCTGGAATGTCCTCTTTCCCATTCTTTATTGGTTGAATTCCAATTCATCCTTTAAAGTTTGATTCCTCTATGCCAGCTCCTCTGAACTCTTCCCCAATTCCTTTCCGTGAGTAACCTTCCCTGCTTTCCACTGCACCCCACCTTACATAGCCTTTTAAAAAAGGTAATATGACTGCCTTTTGTCTTTTTACACCACACTTAGTTTCTGATACAGCCCCATTCTACATCGAACTCTTCCTTAGAAAAAAAGAGAAATAGTTAACAAAAGCAATTAACTAAATGACTGAATCTGCAACATTTCATACCCACAGTCCTTTAACCTTTTCATTAGGAGAAAGAAGTGTATTTCATTTCCTTTTCTGTGGAATCATGATTGTTCCTTGTAATTAATTAATCTGACTTTAACTCCCCCTTGGTGTTTTCATTTACATAACTGTAATCATTGTATGTATTGTTTTCCTAATTCTGTTTATTTTGCTTTGTATCTATTCATCCACATCTTGCTACGGTTCTCCTAATTCTTCCTCACACGCCATTCCTTACATTTCTTGTATTGGATTTTTCTATCATATTCATATACGGCAATTTGTTCATCCATCCCCCAGTCGATGAGCACCCACTTTGTTTCCAGGTTGGGTTTTTTTTTTTTTTTTTGGCTACCATTAAAAGTGCTGCCTCGAATGTTCTGTTATAACCAGATCTGTATCTCTGTCTTTGTTCTCTTTGGCATATATGTCCAGTAGAGGGCTTACCTGGGTCAGAGTGGATGAACAATACAGTAACTTTTCTCACACAGTTCCAAAATGTTTCCAGAATTCACAGCCCCACCCATAGTGCATTGGTATACCTGCCTTATCACAGCATCTCTAACACTTGCTATTTCTATTTTTTAAAATTATTTTTGAAAATTCTGTGATTATAATCAAACAGTCACTCAGTCAACAAGCATTTACTATATGCCTCATGCTGTGCTAAGTTCAATGAAACTTCAATGTTGTTTTAATGGACATTTCTACAATTAGTCATTTGGAGCATTATTTCTTGTGGTTTATTTTTCTTCTTTTGAAAATTGTTGCTTTTTTCGGTTCCTGGCTTCCAAGATGACCAAGAAGAGGAGGAACAACAGGCGCCCCAAGGAGGGCCTCGGCCACGTGCGGGCCACCCGCTGCACCAACTGCACCCGCTGCGTGTCCAAAGACAAGGCCATCAAGAAATTCGTCATCCGCAACATCGTGGAATCCGCGGCCGTCAGGGACATCTCCGAGGCCAGCGTCTTCGACTCCTATGTGCTGCCCAAACTGTATGTGAAACTGCATTACTGTATGAGCTGCGCAATCCACAGCAAGGTAGTGAGGAATCAGTCCCGGGTGGCATGAAAGGATCGAACACCCCCACCCTGCTTCAGACCTGCTGGTGCTGCCCCCAGACCCCCTCCAAAGCCTATGTAAAGAGTTATCTGCCCATCAACATTCCTGAACTGATCAGAGGAAAATAAAATGGTTGGTCAACCTTAAAAAAAAAAAAAAGAAAATTGTTTAGATCCTTTGTTCACTCAGCTATTGGGAAATGGCCCTTGTTCTTTTATATTTATGTCAGTTCCCCATATATCTTGCCTTTCGGGATTTTATCAGAGAAATTTAATTGAAAGATCTTTTCCACTCAGCAGTTTTTCTTCTTATCCAAGCTGCTTTGATTGTGTTGGTACAAAAGCTTTTCAATATTATGTTAAAAATATTCTATTTTATCTTTTAAGATTACTTCTACCCCTTTTTTGGTTAAGAAATTCATTCCTTAGCCATAGTGATAAAACTTACCTCCTTCCATTCTACTCTTTTTTTTAATGATGTAACTTTTATGTTTAATACACACACACACACACACACACATATATGTGTGTGTGTGTGTGTGTGTGTGTCTCCATTTGAAGCTTGTGGTTTATGGTATAAGATTTAGAACTGTCTCTGACAAACTGCTTTCCAGTTTTCCTGTAATTTCTTGATAAAGAGGAAGTCCTTCCCACATTCATTTGCACCCTTGTGTTTGGTTGCTCTGTGCTGGGCTACTTATTGCTCACATTGTGTTTGTATGCTTTGTGTATTAGTTTGTCTAATAGTCACCTGTGTGTCTCATCTCCTTAAGAGACTGTAAGCTCTATGAGGGAAGGGGCTGTAACTCATCTAGACTTCCATTTCCCCCATGATCTGCCATAATATTTTGTCAAAAGTTGGCGCAATATAAATGGTTGATTAGTTGGTTGCTTGTTTTCAATTCTGTAAGGACACAGTTGAACTGGTTCCATAAAACTCCTGTGGCCCTATGGGGGAAGGAAGGGCATCCTCAGGTAAGGGAATCTCTTTGGCCACAAGTGTGTTTGCCTTTGGGCCAGAATTCATCCTTCAGCTGCCAAACTCTGGGACCTTCCTCCTCTCTTTAATGCTGAGAAAAAGGAAGGATGGGGATGTTTGAGGGAAGAGGACTCTGACCTTTGCAGTGTGGGAATGAACATTTTGATAGGGAGTATTTCCCATTAGAAGTGTCATTAAGAGCTGTCTCTACATTTACATTTGTAATTATCTCCTGCAAATCATCCTGTGAGGGGGTTTGGAGGGAGCCCTTCTGAAGGTTGTCAGCCCCCTTGTTTGGGAAACCTAGAGTACTCTAAAGGGTCAGGGAACAGATCAACAGATACTGGCTTGGTGTCTAAGAGGGGCTTGCATCTGTTAGTCAATGGAAATAATGAGTTAAATGGGGTTTGAATGGCAGTATGTTAAGGCATATTCTTTCCATAATCACTCTAAAGGCTCATTATAGCTCTTGGATTTGTGCACTAATAGGAGTGTGAGTACATTTGCTATCTGCACTAATCCTTTCTCTTCCTGATGAGTCTTACCTTGTGGCAGAGGGCATTTCATTCATT